AAAATATAACTTAGAAATCATATTTCAAGAAAAATTAATCTAAATGATAAGCATATATTCTTTACACAATAAAGGGGATACCTAAGAAGTAATTATTTTTGAAGTTTTTATGGTTGCAAAACCTAAAGTTCGATGAAGCTCCACCTGTATTTCATAAAACTTTTTTTTCCTCTTTCAATTCATTCAAACAGGCTCACTTTGCTTCAGCATTGACAGTAGTTTTTGTAAACTCCAAGTCATTATCATCAATCAAGATAGATGACACACCACTTGATGATCCTTCTTTGAAGGTTCTTGTTGCTAACAACAGTGATACTTTAAAACTGCTTAAAATGAGCAGCTGTCCTCACGTATCACCTGCTGGTGAGTAGTGAATATGCATGAAAAATATAGTAGAAAAGCAACATAAAACAATAGTTGAGACCTACTTTTGAAACAATTATTCACGTATTGTATTTAGACAGTTTATGTAAGTGTGCAACCTTGTAAATTAAACTGATATTTTGTGGGATTGTATGTGCAAAATCCCAGATGAATTTATTACTAATTGATGGGCTGAGGGATGTGAAAGCAACTATGAATAACTGTTTTGCAAAATGCTGTGAGTTCAACTTACTGAGCAAAAAAAAGTTAACGCTTCAAAGTTTTATTAATAAAAACAGAAGGAGTAAATGAATTTTAAAACTAGTAGTAAAAGAGTAAGAGTCTTTCAATTTCTATAGTGTCCTCCTGTGCCCAGATCTAGCAGCGTGAACTTGCTCATTTAAGTATAGCTTGGCAAGTGGCTGATTCCATTGAAAGGCTCTAGATGGGAAGCTCAAAGGACCTTCAGTTACCTTTCTCCTGAAACCCTGGAGCAAGGTAAAGGGAATGCTGGGTTAGTCTTTCTCCTGTATTCATCCACAAAAGGCAATTTAATCTGTGAACCCTGTTCCAGCAGATCAAGAGCAGTGTGTTATTTGTCTTAGCTCAGGGAGGTTTTAGCTTTCAAGTTCAACTTGGCTGCTGACGTTCAATTAAAAAGAGCTCTCAGATAAGTGCTGAAGGAATAAGCTCTGGGAAAGGGAACAGTGGTAAGTTCAGCTGGATCTTACCAGACCTTGCTGATAACTATTTGTGGCCAAAACCCCATGAAAGTATACTCTGAACTTCTATCATACTTTGGTTTTTTGTTGTTGTTGGTTTTTTTTTGTTATAGGCATGAGCATTCAAGTCAGTAGATATAGTATTTGCTTGAGCATTGCAGCACACTGCTGTGCTTATATTCACTTGTCATTTTACAGATCAGTTCCTTTTGTTTCTCAGGAGTTCTTTGCGTTGCTGACCAGTGTCATGGACTTAAGGAGCTGGCTCTGAACTACTACATACTGAGTGATGAGCTGTTGCTGGCTCTTTCAAGTGAAAAACACGTGGACCTTGAGCACCTTCGCATAGACGTTGTGAGTGAAAATCCTGGACAGGTTGAATTTCACACTATTAAAAAGCAAAGCTGGGATGCTTTTGTTAAACACTCCCCCAAAGTCAACATTGTGATGTATTTTTTCCTATATGAAGAAGAATTTGATGCTTTCTTCAGAGAGGAAACCCCTGTTACGCACCTTTACTTTGGTCGTGCAGTAAGCAAAGCAATGCTAGGTCGTATTGGCCTGAATTGCCCGAGGTTAATTGAGTTGGTTGTGTGTGCTAATGGACTTCAACCTTTGGATGATGAACTTATTCAGATTGCTCAGCGCTGTAAGAACTTAACAGCAATGGGACTCGGGGAATGTGAAGTAACTTGCAGGGGTTTTATTGAATTTGTGAAGATGTGTGGAGGCAGGCTCACACAGCTCTCTATAATGGAGGAGGTACTGATTCCAGATAATGATTATAGCTTAGATCGGCTTCATTTGGAAGTCTCCAAACACCTTGGAAGAATGTGGTTTCCTGATATGATGCCAACATGGTAAACACTCTTCATCTGTGGGTAAACAGGTAAAATCAGGGCGTTACTTTCTATGCAAATAAAGATTTTTAAAACAAAATGTGAAAAATTATTTTCATATTAGATTTTTTTTTTTTACCTTGAAACCTCTAGTAGAATAACAGTAAGATATTCCAGAATGTTAATGATATATTAAAATAGAAAATAGATTAAGTGTACTTGACACTGAAAATAGGTCTGGTTTACAGGTGCTTCATACTTCAGTCAACTTGAGCTTCTCGGAGCTCCAGTTTAAATGTTTCATTCAAATTGAACTTTTTTCTCATGTCTGTCTTTAAGTCTTTCTGCTGTAGTCAGAATAATAGAAGAGAAATTTTTCTCCTTGGGTAAAGCTAACTTTATGGGAAGCTGGATATAACTTGGAGTTCATTAAGACTTTTATTTGTCATGAAATTTTATGCAGCTTTTTCTCAAAACATTCTTGTTACACATGTAAAAGTTTGTACATAAAAAACACCAGCCCAGGTTATTGAAATATAATCTAGTTTAAACTCCTGACAGTGTATTAAAATGTTGTAAATGAGTTTCTGCAACAACAAAAAACGCTTTCAGATCTTCAGTTGCACTTTAAGTCACTTTATCAGATTAGCTAAACTATAGCGACAGCATTGTACAGTATGTTGTTTTTCTATCTCATGCATTAAGTGGATGGAGAAGAGATTGCATTGAAGTTAACGAATTTAAAAGTAGATTGATTGCTTGGAAGAATGACAAAGCACTTCTGAGTTTGAGAGTTCCTATCTTTGATTACAAAGGTTGACATCTGAATGCTGTTCTGGGCTCTTTTCTTTTTTGAGATAAGAATCTCAAAGATTCTTTTTTGAGATAAGAATCTCAGGAATGTGGCTAGTGGAAAAGAAGGATCAATGGAATGCAATTGTCTTCAATCACTTTCTGAAGTCAAGGGTTTAGAGCATTTCAAAAAAATTGCCTGTTAGAGGCTGAAATGACTTTCAGAAGTCTTGTCTTGCCTTTCCTGTATAGAGCTGTGCTGTAAGCCCTGATTTCTAGAGTTATGTATTGCTGGAGGAGATGCTGAGACTTCTGGTTTGGGAGGGATTGTGAGACTGTTTACTATTTGTTATTAATTGCTTTTTTGATGAAGATTTTTTTCTTTACAGTGGAAAGGAATAGGGAGTTGATGTGAAGTAGAGTATGTATTTTTTGCGATAACATTTTTGCACACTTTGTGAATTGAAATGTGTAGTATACGAATTTTCCTGTAATTTTTTTCATACTGCATTACTATATTCCTATTTGTAATAAGAAGTCTACATCTAATTTACTGGTGGTATTTGTCACATCTGATAAAATGTCAAATAGTTTCTTCTATGGTTATACTTTTCTACAGTTAAGAAAAAAAAAAATAGAGGCTTAAACCTCTGTTGTTTTGATCAGACTTGTTCACAGTTACAAGCTAAAGGAATTCCAATAGCATATAATGCATGTCTAAATCAATAATGTATTATTGCTTGTTGCACAATTAAGAAAAGAAGCATCTGGCTCTGGTTACTAGCACTTACTACCCAAGCATTTGCTTCTATAAGTCAGGGGATTGAAAAAAAGACTGAGGTATTTCCAAGCAGTTCTTGGTTTAAGATGTGTGATTTGCTTTAACTGTAAACATAATAAACTGATCTAATACCTGCACTGATCCCAGACTCTTATCTGTCTGTTGCACTGCTTATCTTCCCTTTAGGTTGAGTTGTGTCACGTTTCTAACATGACAAACCTAGAGAGGTAGTGGAGCTGTTGGAGTAATAGAGAATTAATAATTGTCCTTTCACATTTGTGCCTCAAAGTAGAGTTTTAGATATGCTGGCAAATCTTTTAGAGGGTTGAGTAGTTCTAGAGTCCTTTATGTCCCTGTAGCCAACATGATGGAATTCACTAATGAATTAGTGAAGTGCAAATCTCTAGTGGTTATATACAGAAATGAAACACGAGGGGGGAACTTTAAAATGCTTATTTGAATATTGTCCCTTTCTCTGTTAATGGAGCAGCTTTTCTGTGAAGTTGCTGATGTTGGATTGCTCCATATCCAAGCTTGAAAATGAGCCTGTGTTTATTAGCAAAGTAAATCTTAATATGGTGACTTCTTTTGGTATATTTGTTCAGAACGATGTGAATAAGGAAGACCAACTGATAATATCAACCAAATTGATTCATTAGTCTTCATGTGAAATACCAATTTACGGGTAGCACTTGACATGGTTAAAGCTGAATTTTAGTTTTAATGTTAGATTTCAGTGTTGTGTTGGTGGTACAATGCGTGTATTATTTCTACCTTCTAAACATCCCTCTCTTCAGTGTGTAATGCAAGGATGTTGAATAACTAAAAACCTCCACGTAAAGTGCAGAATCGACACCTAAGGGATGAAGATGATTTGTAGGGTCACTCCAGAAAGTCCAAGTTCCAGCAAGAAGCTTGCAGCGATGCACCTTTTCTGCCACATGAGGGGGTAAGCTGATCTCCAAGTTTCTTGACTGACTCATTGACAAAGCTTATTGTGAGTCATTGCTAACTTCCCGTTTTTTGTTTTGTTTTGGGTTTGTTTGTTTGTTTCACAAATACCCATTCAAACAAAATCTCATGTTCTATTTTGGAGTCCCTCTTGCCAATCTATAGAGGCATCAGTTGTGGTATGACAATTCTAAACAGTATCTTTGTCTTCTGGAATGTTCTTATAAATTTCCCTCTAATTTTTCTCAGTTTAAGATGCCTTCAAAAACTGAAGTAATCTTCCTTTCAGTAACTTTGTTTTCCAAAATGCAGTAAAGTTTGTAAGCTAGCCTAAGGTACAATATTCACAACTACTAATGCTTACAAATCAGTACCTCACTGGTACCTGGCAGAGATGTTGATGTTGGGCCTTACAATAATAAGTAAGGCTCAAAATACTGCATCAGCAATCTATTGTGCCTGCTGTGTACACTTCATTCTATTTGTAAAGTACGTTTTCCTTCTTTCATTGAGAGAGACCATCCATGTGAGAACAAAAACAGCATTTGGATGCTGAGATGTATTTATTCAGAACTTATTACACTTCTGTTTCACTTTCTTCTCCTTTTCCCCCTTTCAAGATTGCTAGTAGGATCTGAGCGATCGCAGTTCTCAACATGAATATGAGATGTGATCCCAGGAAATACTCTTTGCATTGGCAACATTCTGCCAAGAGCTTGTCCCTTAGAAATCCTACCACTGTATCTGATGGGATGGATGCACAGCAGTTTTACGCAGAAGCCTGGTTAAAAAGAAGAGGAAGGAAAAAAATCAGGTGATGTACGTTTGTTCTCCTGTATTAATTCTATTTGAACAACTCTTGTCCTTTCCACTGAGATAGCAATTTTGGAAATGCAATAATATCCAAAGTATTGTAAGAAGTTTAGAGAGTGGTTGGAGTTGCTGGCTTATTAGGGAAGGGAATGTGAAGGGACAGGTGAGAATTCAAGCTCTTCTCTCTGCTGAAGCAAGAAGACAATATACAGGACTCAAGCTCCCTGTTTTTAATTTTTTTCTCATGCAATTTGCAGCCCAATCAAACTTTTTAGCTTTTTTTTCCTCTTTGTAGAGAGAAAACTAAATAGTAGTTCATAAAGGCAAGATCTTCCCTCACTGTCTTTAAGACTGAACGCTTATATTTGTATGCTAAGAAAGGAGCAGAAATTTCTGAATGTGGCAATACAGCAGCTGGAAATGTGTGCTTTGCTGGTACACTCAACTACCTGTGAGGGAACGTATACTACATAAACCTGAGTCAAAATGAACTGTTAAATAAAATAAATGAGAACAGCTATATACCTGATCCCCTGATTTGGACTCCATCATCAATGGCGTTTCCATTATGAAAGAATTTAATGGGTCCAGACAGCTCTCCAGAAAAGGGAGCGTACACTGTTGCACCATCAGCACAGATGACATCCACACCCTTGTGCTTCTCTCCTTTGCCATTGCGTCTGAAAACAAATACACCATTAGAGAAGTCTCTGCCAGACCTAACATTATGCAGAGAGAGGTCGCTTAGCAAGTTCTCAAAGCAGGTTAGTAGTACTAAGATGGTGCTGCCATGATTGACCATGGCTGAAGAATCTGTAGACATTCTCTTTTGGTAGCTAAGCTAATGTTATGTAGTCTGTTAGATTTACAGCTTTGTGAATTGTGTGGGTGGAGGCTTATTTCTCCCTAGTTTTGAAATAGAACTCTAGAGCTACAGAAGTACTGGTTGGAAGGTACCTGTGGAGGATGTTTAGCCCTACCTTCAGCTCAGGTTGTTCACAACACCAGGTCAGGCACGGCTTTGTCTAACCCAACGCCTCCAAGCACGGAGGTTTCATGAACAATGTTGGCAACCCATTCTTGTGCTGCATGACGTCTGCAGTGAGTGTTCCCTTATGTTCAACCTAAACTGTCAGAGCTTAAACAGGGTTCAACTCTACCCCAACAAAGCAATGATAAAACCCCACATGTTCAAAGTACCTCGGAGCTCCAAAATATCCACAGCCGTATTTATCGCAGCCTCTTATCTCGTTCGTAGGATTCCCAGAACATACTGTTGCCCAGTGAGTATCGTGTTGTGGGAATGGTGGGCGGGGTGGTAAAACATCTATGAAATATAGAAACAGGAAATAAAGGTAGTGTTGTTTTTATTTAATGTATTTCACATTTGCAACTTTCATTTTAGTTAGGAAGGAACATGCTGGAATTGCATCATGCAGTGTTCAGTTGATGTTTGATCCTCCACAAAATTTGTCACCTGTTTGGTATTGTAAGTGGAACAAATGCCTCAAACTGCATTTTAATGCTTTGTAATTAGGGTTGGCTGATATAAAGAACGTGCTTCCGAGGGGGGGGGGAAACAGCACAGCAGGATTATCACAGTTATAAACCAGAGTGTAAACTGAAGGGTAGGAGAAGATTTGGATTTTTCATATTCTATGCCTACACTAATGGAATCAAAGTCCTTAAGTCTTTCTACATCATCACCAAAATCTTTAGGATGATTGTTTTCAAGTGCAAATTTTATGTCTGATCTAGTTGAGATGTAATTTTGGAAACATTGCTAGTAGTTAGAAGGCTCAAAAGAGACATCTGACTATCTTTGCTGAGACTTGATGCTTCTGTGCCATGGGAGGGCATTGAGGGGTGAAAAATAAAGCATGGTAAGCTAAAACATGTTCTTTCCTTTCTATGGTCCTGTTATGCTATAATGCATGTCTTCTTTCTTACAGATGTCTTGAGGAGACCCTATGATAGAGGAGACTCCTATTGCTTGGTATTACTGTAATTTGCAATTAAACATATTTTCATTCACGATAAACCTCAAATGTTTGTTGCTTGGTTTTGTTTTGTTTTTACCAGGTCTGAGGAGATTAGTAGGATCAGATTGGTCACAGTTCTCGACGTGAATGTGAGAGACAATGCCAGGAAACACTTTCTGCATTGGCAGCATTCTTCCAAGTTGTTGCCCTTTCTGGATTTGGCCGTGGTATCTGATGGGATGAATGCAGACTAGTTTTACACAGTAACCTGGAAAAGATGGGAGAGGAAGGTCAAACACCAGCTGCATCTGTTGAGGCAGAGTGCAAGAAATCTTCCTTACTGGGCTGTTACTGGGGGCTACAGTGGTGAAGCAGAAATGGAGTCAAGGTACCAAGAATCCTGAAAGTACTCACATCCTTATAGAAAAGAAGAAAAAGAAAAGAGGAAGTTGGAAAATAGGGACTGGAAAATATCCTCTCAGCAAAACTGAGGACTTCGGATGCTTTGTTTTTACTTTTTCCTTTGTTTGACTTGGGGTTGTTTTTCTGCTATGTGTTTTTCAGCTCCCTTCTTCCTTTCTATCTAAGAAAAAGACTGCATCCTTCTGGAGCTTTTGGTATTTCTAAGCAGCAATGTAGTTGTGCTTCAGTATAAGAACTAGAGAGACTAAATCAGCAATCTGCTTGACTTGAAGAGGCACAGAAATATCTTACTCGGGTAAATAAGATTGCTCGTGCCAGCCTTGTGACACATGTGCTGTTATTGCTTACCTGACCCAGAGATTTGGACTCCATCATCAATGGCATTTCCGTTATGAAAGAATCGAATGGGTCCGGAGAGCTGGCCACTGAAGGGAGCATACACTGTTGATCCATCAGTGCAGATGACATCCACGCCCTTGTGCTTTTCTCCTTTACCCTGTCTGATGACATAATTAAGTAGTTATGCAATCTGTCAGGCCTAATAGGTAAATCACTCAGACTACATACGAAGCTTCTCTAGAAACATAATGTTTTACATCTGCAGTGAAATTGGGAGAAGTTAGTGGTTTCAATTGTATTCTTATTGCAGAGTGTTTGTAGTGGTCCACTTTAAAGGGGGGCAGAATTTCAAACTCTAATGAATGTTTTTAATTCTCCCAAATTCATGGGACACCAGACCATCAGAGTACGCCTGTTCCACCCCAGTATGCATCTATGCCATGTCAAATAGAATTGTATATTTGGCATTTTCTCACTTAGCAGTTCTTAAGTTCTATGCTGGAGATCATAGAATCACAGAATATCCTGAGCTGAAAGGGCCTCGGAGTGTTTTTTAGGACAGCGTAACCTTCTCTGTTACAAGGTGCCTATGCAGAGGCAGTGGTGGCTGCAGATCTTTAGCTTGTGTGAAGTAATTTGTAAGGCTTCCTGTAAGCTCTATTGATGATTGTTAGTTAAGAGTCTGGTTTAGAAGAACCAAAGATGAATTATGTTAGTCCTTGGAATGCTTTCCGTTGCTGTTACCACTCAGCCTGCTATTTTATATATAGTGGTCTCTCTTCTTTACTCTTTACCCATACATCTGTTAGTCAAAATCACACTGATTTCCTTCAGTGAGATTGCTAAGTAATGTCTCAAAGCGACTAAGAGAAAACATGGAGAAGCTCTCTTTCAATTGAAGTGTAGCAGAAATATCAATGAATGATATATGAAAGGCACTGCTGGTGATTTTGTGTATTGTCCTTAAATCTTGGAGAAAGAAGGCAAAATATTAAGTAAGCCTTTTAAAAACTTGGTTAAATCTCATTCTTGCTTTGTGAACACTTGGTGTAGGAAAGCCACGATGCGCCCCCTGCTCCAGGTCCTTAATGCCCACCCTGTTACCTGCTGGCTCCGTAATTGCCGCAGCCGTATCTGTCGCAGCCCCGGATCTTATTGAAAGGGTTCCCGCTGCATATCTGCGCCCAGTGCCTGCCCTGCTGCTGGGGAGGGTGCACCTCCCACTGCCTGGTGAAAACTGCCCGTGCAGAAGAGGAAAACGGGGTGGGGGGAAAAAAAAAATAGGGTTGTCTTAGTGTTGTACAACTGAAAGTGGAAAGCTACAAAATGCAATGGTTAAGTTAGAAGGCATGTGTTATGACTTCTGCCACAGAGGAGAGGTTTCCTCCCTAATTACAAGCAAATGATGGTTTGTGGGCTTTCACAATGCCCTGAACTGCAGCTATAAGAACATCAAGCAACCCGTTATGCATACTTGACTGCTTTCCTGGAAGCCTTGGGCCTTGATAAAGTACACACAGCAAAAGAAAGTAAAGCTGTAGACACAGATTTCTAATATTAGTTTCTGCTATAATACTAACTACTTATTCTGTGAAACCAAAGCACTTCAGTATAGGTCTATCTGTAAAAACACTACTATAGTTCATCATAGAAGCAGATTTAAAGAGCTTAGCTTTACATTGAAATTAATTTCAGTAATTGATTAGTGTCTGTCTGTACAGATTCAAGACAAACCAACTCACCAGTGGACACCAGGCTGAGCAGGGTGATCAGGCTGAGGGCTGGCATCTTGTGCCTTTGAGCGAGTCAAAGATGTCCTACAGTAGCACTCTGTAGTATTTATGTGTTTTCCAAAGTGAGTCTGTTGTGTTGGCCAATCAGTCCTGAGCCAAGTGTTACAACTCCGAGCAGACAACGTTGCCATATTAGGCACTGGAGATATCTGTACAATATAACGGTTTTTTAGAGCTGGTTGGGAAAGACAGGTAAAGCAACGGGTGTCTTAGCTCACATTAACAGATGGAAATGAACAATCCCACTTCTCAGGAAGCTTTGGTTGAACCATTTCTTAACGCTTCTTCTTCTCCTTCCCCAAGTAAGGACGCACTTAGGCCAAGAATGATAAGGAACAAGAATATGATCCAGAGGATTCAGCTAGTGGGAGAGGATGGGCAAAATTCCACGTGTTGGCTGTTGTGAGCACCAGTTTGTCTTTCTCTGCTGGTTCCAGTACCTCCTCCCCAGCTGTATGTGCCCATTACAGCTTTCTAACAGCATAGCAGAGAACACACGTAGGTGTAACGTTTGTTTTAGTATACATATTCACTTAAGCTAAGAAGTGCAGATGCTTTTGCATAGAAATCTGTTCTTCCTGTTCATCTGGTATTTTCACCAAGCCTGGACATCAATCCATGGAGTCTTTTCTCTGGAACCCTGTTTTTTGACAGTGAAGTTCTTGTTAAAACCTCTTCAGATTCTGAAATGGATGGTTGCAAGCCACAGTTGCATTGCGTAACTGACATGGAGTTTAAAAAAAAAATCTCATTAGTTTTCTAACGGTTCATTTAGCATCTGCTTGACTTCAGCTATTGAACTGTTAGGCAAGCTGATTAATGTATTTTAATTGTCCCTTCCATTCAGCTTTTCCATATTTCTTATAGAAGGGCAGTCATGGAGCTTTCCCATAGGAGGAAAGAGCTCCAAGAGACAGTGACCTCTGGAAGGCTCGCATGTTTTGTTCAGAGGAGAAACAGATGTTACTGAGTACTTCTAGCTGACAAAGAGCATCTGCATGTTGTGTTTTCCCCAAAAAATAGCTGCAACAAGCAGCTGGAGACAAATTCCTGCCTCGTGCTTCCAAGCTTTTTTACAGCTAGTATTAGCCCCTTGGAATATTTTGGTCTTCCCTGGCATTTTTACAAGCGATTTCAGTGATTTTATCCCTGCTGCTTTCTCCTCTGTCCTGCCAGAAGGAAATGCTGTTTTTCACACTAAACAAGCATTTCTATAAATATGTTGTTTGCATCTTTCCAGGCTTACTCACCTTCATTTCTCCAGCTACTGAAGTGCTCAGATGGAGAGCTGCATCCTCCCAGCAAGAAATGACCTGAGACTCACGAGCGAGCTCGTGCTTTTCCATGACCCAGGTCCCTCACTCCCTCTTGGACTTCAGCACACCTCAGATTATCATCTACATTTGTTGGATCTTAGGTTGCATATCTTGGTTAAACTACTTGGAACTTCCAGAACTCGTTAGAGCTCTGCACCTGTCTGCATAACAATATTTGTGCATGCCAACAAACTTCCATGGCTACTGTCTGTCACCTATTTTCAATCCCCAGACAGCTGTTAGAGGACAGCAGAGCCCAGAACTTCCCTTCAGAAGGTGGTGCAATGCCAGGTGCTGCCCCAAGGCCCCATCTCTGAGTTTTTCCCATCTCATTTGTTACAGAATTTACTTCACATTGCTTGTATCTGCCTTAAAAAAAAGAAAAAGAAAAAAAAAAAAAAAACAAAACAATTTTCAAGCTTGTGTTACAGTGGTTCAGGCTTCTCAGTGCATTCTCTGTCTTTTCCAGGGAGCTGCAGGCCTGGCCTGTTGGGCAACAGGGCTGTGAACCGATGGTGGTGGGATTCCTGCATTGGGCAACAGAGGCATTAATCCAACAGTTGGGAGGTGTGGTTGTGAAAGAGCCCAGCCAGGCTCTTAGCACACACCAACAGAAGGATATGGAACAACCGCGGCGTTGCACGGAGCTGCACTTGCACCATTTCCTCCTGTGTGACAGGATCGGGCTCGAAGGTGGGTGCTCAGGGATGATGATGCTCACAGCTACAGATTTTGGAGAGGGACAGAGCTGAGTTATTGGAATTGTTCATTAGTGCCTTCCTACGTGCCTCCAACTTCAGTCTGAACCATTTCATGCTTTACTTGTGAGCACAATATTATGGCTGCTTTGGTTTGAAAGGAGAGAAATGTCATTCTTACCTACTTTTCCCCTTCAGATAAGCTTAATGAAGGTGCTAGGTGTGGCATTTGTGCTGGTGGTGGTGATGTTTTGGTTCCTCACCATGTCTTCTCTCAAGGAGCCGATGGCCCCACCTAGCAGATAGGAGATTTTTGGTTCCTTTGCTTTGGGGGCAGTTCTGCATGGCTTTCAGGACAATGTTCCAGCACTTAGGACTAATTAAACTAAGGTTTAACTGGGTTACTAGTCAACCTTTTCTGCTCATACAAACCCATGTTTTAGAAATACATCTGCTTATAACTGCTCAGTGTTATAACCCATACGACTTTTAAATTGATTTTAAGATGGTTAGAGCACATTATAGGTGAGATAAGAGAACTATTCTTACTATGCGCTCTGCAGTATGATCAGTTTTTAAACGATGCCAACTGTCTGCTCAAGCTCATTCTTCTGTGGGTGTCTAAAGAGACATCTGAGACTCAGAGATTGAAAACAAACCTGGGCCTTCCGCTGGGTGTTTGGCGCTGCCAGGTTGGGGTCTGGTACATATGTACAGAAGCAGCTCAGAAATATTCCTCATCTTGCAAGCAGAAGGAACAGATGGTAAGTGAGGCATGTCAAGCTTCATGTTGTAGGTAGAAGTCAGGTACAGTTAGTGGTACATCCATCTTACAAATGATATAAAGGTTTAGAATTTTATTACTTTTTTTTGGAAGAAAGAGCTAGAAAACTGAGATACTAGTGGGAAATCACAGCAAATCCTGTGAGTAGGAGCATCAATGAAAGGGCTGGTTTGCCACATCATCTCTTCTACACATGCTCCAGCTTCTAGTGTCCAAAACCTGATCATTTGGTCCACGAAGCCCTTCCACTTTGGGGTGTGTTCCCAGAGAATTGGATAAGCAAGAACCACATGTCTTATTTCTTGGTTATGCTGTGGGGTGGTAATTGTAGGTTTGCAGTTCTTCTCTGAGATTTATTTTGAAGAACATTTTGGGAACAAATCACTGCTGGGCCTTTGCTATCCAGCTGAGCTTTGTATACCATGCCATTAAAGAAAATACATTTTGTTCTCATCGTCAACATTGAAATAATAACTTAAAAATTAACTGTAGAATTATTTTCCTGTGCAATTGGTGTGGGCTTTCATGGAAAATCAGTCTGGCACAAAAGAAAACAAATTGCTCTTAATCTATAATCAGGCTTCTGACCACTTGAATAGGCTGAGATAAGAGAGGTTTTTGAAATGAGATTTGTCTGGACAGTTTTGTTGTAGTATCACTGGGAAACCATTGGGCTGTGCTAGCTAACCAGCCACCAGGCTCACTGCCTCACGGAACATCTGTATGGTGCTGAGAGCGCGTGGCCTTTCTTTGCCCAGAGTGAGTTGAGGATGCCCAGTGCTGGTATGCAGCTCCCATTGAAACCAACACCTCGAATTTATTGTGCCTCTATTAATATGCTAGTAAAGCCTGAATTGAGTTTTAGCAGGAACATAGAGGAAAACCTTTCTGCTGCTCACATCTGATTTCGTGAGGATGACTAAGTTCTTGCTGAACCATCCAAAAGTCCTTTGATGCTCTGACAAGGAAAAGGGCGCAGCCCAGATATATGGGAGTTTCAGAGTTAGGGGTCCCACCTCTGTCTGCAGCCTCATGGGACAAAGTTATAATACAAACGAGGTAGAAAGGACAAGGATCCCTTCAGACCTGGTGAAGAACTGCTGTGCTGGGGCTGGCAGAGCTCTGCCACTGCGGAAATGAGGGCCATGTGGGAGGGGCCCCTTGGCTGGGCTCGGGGCAGAAATCATACCATTACCAACCTCTGTCTAGCCTAAAGTACAGCAGAGTGTTTCAGCTATCACATTTCCACTGCTCATTCAAGGGTATTTTTAGTATTGGTGGATAAAGTTGCTGACTCTACGTCAACTAATCCTTCCTTGCTGCCATGATCATGATGAGGGAAAAGCAGCCATTCTCTCAAATGTGCTCAGGTGGAAGCCTCCCTCCTTTGTGCTACTGTTTAGAGGTCTGTCTAAATAGCATTTCTCTTATAGACATATTTTCATTGCACATGCTTTTGCATGAGCAGAGATGAGCAGTGAAGGAGCTGCTTCCACAGGCAGTGTTGGGGCAGAGGCTCTGATCGCTGGTTTTAGCACAAACCTCTTAGCATTCACAGTGAGGCATTAACCTGTTGTAACACCAGTGATGTGGTTACATGGATGAGCCACAACATGAGCCCACGGTCCTCTGAGCAAAGAGACACAAATGCTGTGGCCAGAGCTGGCTGCTGAGGTCACCCAAATTAATTCTTGCTTTAACTAGGAGGAACATTCCATTTAAATGCTAGCAATGTGTATCCAGCAGCAGTTCTTCCATTTTGGCTGCCTCAGAGCTGAGGATTTGTGCTGCACCCCGAGCACATCCTGGTGTACCTGGGGGTGACACTGCTGCTTTGCAATACCGTAAATGCTACCAGCATTATCAGCCACTCACAGCTGAAGGTGTACTTTGGGTATGATAATGATGTTGTGCCATTAAGAGAGGATCTGCAATAAATCCCTCCTGCGCCATTAAATTTGTGCTCATTCCCTGCCCTGTATCTTATCACTGGGGCTGCTGATAGCTTTCCTGTATGGCTTGGAAAGCAGCCTGTTGTGCTGTGCTATTTCCTTCTGTTGGCAGGTGAGGGTTAATTAAATCCTCCCCAGGCTCTGTTGCTTTGATGCCGTGATGGCTAGGGAAGTCTTTTTTTTTTTCTTTTAGGGGACATTCAAGTGTCCACAGGCTGCCTGCGTTCTCCTGCAGCTCTGATAAGAAAATCCT